TCTGGGTACTGGCATCGTAAAAGGGAATGGCAACTGCTACGGGGGGGATTCTGTAATTTTAATTTCTCCAATTTGCCCGACGCGGGACTGGTATGGTGGTTGGTAGTTGGAAAATGTATGCGCACGTTAAACGGGAGCGAGCGGATTTTTCGACGAGCTTTTTGTCGCGCGTGTGTGTATGTGTTTATTGCACCGTAACGTAAACGTTAGAAGATATAATGTAATAAACCCACTATTTTCACAAACAAACGAATCTTTGATGACGCTTGAAACAGATTGTACCATAACGCACACAAGCCTGTTTGTCTTTTTGTTTTGCAGAGCCTCCATGATGAAGCGATGAACGGCGATTTTCATCGCACGTAATGACACGTTATTTAAGACATTTGAGTTTAAACAGCGAGTGTTTATGGATGCGTAAAGAAGAGCAGCGAGAGATGGGATTGAGCTTGAATCGTAGGTAAAACAAGGCTTTTAGCCGGTAGCACCTACTGGGAGGGGGGGAGGGGTGAGTGCGCGATAATGGACAACGCTCAATTCCAACAAGAGAGCGCAGCATGCGCACCGAGACAGCTGTAAACGCTTCTAACGACGGCAATTAATGAAGGGGACAGGTAGAGGTGGGGGAGGGGGGGAGATTTTCCTTGGGTTGTCGCCGCCACGGAGAGCTTTCAGGTGAGAGCCACTTTGGTAGGAGGCTGTCTCCGTGTGTATCTTGTCTCGTGGCAATCCGAGAGGTGCGCTCTCGTTGATGGGGAAAAGAGCAAGAATTCACGCGGAGGAGCTTTTACTGCGATGGTTGGACAGCCCGTTCTTTGGCTTCGAGAAATGGCGATCGTGAAGAATTTTTCAAGGGGACGCCAGAGATTACCAACTGAGTGACTATTGCCGCTGTTTTTTCAATGCTCATCTGCGAGAAGTGGCTTTTTTCTTGGCTCGTATTTTTTTCCATCAGACTCTCTGTGCGTTGTTCTTTAGTTAAATATCTCAGAATTGGTTGAGCAAGCAACTTTCTTCTAATGACTAGATAAAAGTAACACACACCTCACGCGCTTTTTTTAATCCTTCACACTTAAGAAGGGCATTTTTTTTCATTTATCAATAGTTCCGTGAATGAAAAATACCATTAGAAAAAAGTTATCAATATATAATCAAACTAAAAACTACTTTTTCGTCAACCGCAAGCTGTTTCGAAACAAAGATAAATGTCAAAGCTCCATTATTTTAGCTATTTACAATAATCTCAATATCGTTCGCCTGACATGACATTAAAATGATATCCTTGAAATACTACACTATCTTGCAATTATCAGCATTATTCAGAGGGAAAATAGATGTTTGGTTTTACCAAGGAAACAAAATAATACTAAACATACGTTATACTTACTATTTACGTCAAATAAATAGTAGGTACAACTTTTACCTCTCTATTCAACTGAATCATTTTCACACCTCTGCTCTTTCACTGTCCCCAGATTTCGTTAACGCAACCAGTGAACGAGGTTTTCCTGTCGGTTTGTTATTGAATCTGAATCGACTGGAGCCAACTATTGGAGGGACGTGATCGGAAGAGCGCTACGGGCCAACATGAAATTAGGTCTTTGCATGAAAAACTCTATTTGGTCCATCTTGTACAATTTTGAAAAATAATCGACAAGTGTTTATTCTTCTTTTTTAAATTGAAAACTTCACAAGATATCACCCCTTGAAGATTCTTTATTATTCATAGCTATAGATATACTCCTTGTGTATGTGACGTTATAATAATATATGCGAAAAACAGCCATTTTGATTTTTTACTATAACTCGATTAAAAATAAATATTTTTTCTTGAAACTTTTAGAAATACTTGGTTTTGGTATTATGTAGATATGGTTAAATTTTGGGCAAGTTTAATGCAACTATTTATACGTTATTTGAGGTTATATATATGTTCGATACTTTTTTCAAAACGCTGTATCTTTAAAAATGTTTAATCGTTTTTTATGTTTCTGGGCTCATTTTTTTCATATTTAATTGTAGAACATTCACGTGTAATGTATACTTCACAGCGTCGAGTATACATGGTGTTTTCTGTAACTTTTAAAATACCATAATTTTCAGGTACTACCTCTTTTTCAATTTTTATTTTTAAGAAAAAATACGTGTTGATTATTTTTCAAAATCATACAAGACGGACCAAATAGGATTTTTCATGCAAAGACCCAATTGTTGATGCTCAAAAATTTCGTTTGGCCAGTGATGGAAAATAATTCATTGTTTTTTAGAGCGGCCAATCAGTCGTGTTCCGTATGGCTTTTGATGCCCCAAAGCACAGTAGAAACGCGTTTCAATTGTCCGTGTAGGTTTGTCGAATTTCCGGGAATTTAAATTCGTCACCCACTACTGGGATGTCAAAGTTAAAGAATTTAATGAAATGCTTTGCGCAAAATACATATCGTGAGTTCATTGGTTTTCATGCTATAGTGCATTGTTTCAGTATTATTAAAAACAATGCAGTAAGGAAAAACTTTTCAAGATCAAATGTTATATCTGCTAGTAGAACAAGTGAAAAATTTATTTCCAATGTATCTTAATTAAAAATCAAGAGACTCGACGAAGAGGCGCGTAAGTCCGAATTTGGTGTACTTTTCACCTTCACGCCGGTAGCTGTAATTTCGGGCCTCCACCTGCAGTACTCTGGCTGTGTTCATTAGCGTACCAGCGTGAAATAACGCAGGACAATCAATGGTCGCGCGCGCAAACGAACCGCTGATGCTATGATGTTTTTATTGTTATTGTCGTCATCGTCGCTGTTGTTGTGGCTGTCATTACGCAGCTCTGCGAAATTTTTTCTTTGTTTTTCAAATGTTACCAACTAAGTGTTTGTCTAGATTTTCGAGGATGGGTGTGAAATATTCGTAGTTTAGTTATTTCTTCTTGTCATTTCTCACGAGCTTCTGTAAATGTGTTTGAAGTTTTATTAGTAGGTACTATTAAAGAAAAGAAAAGAAAAGAAAAGAAAAGAAAAGAAAAAAAAAGAAAAAAANAAAAAAAAAAAAAAGAGTTATAAGTAACGACAGACCTGCAAAGTAGAGCTCTAGCGTCGATCTCTTTAAACAACTTCCATAATAAAAACCCTCGGCCAAAAAAAAAATTTATTGACCAGTTACAAGAGTACAGTCATCATTTATCCATTCAGTCGAATGAATCAAGCACCAAAATAGGAGGTATAGACACTTCGACACCTCGCATACCCACACATATGAATTTCGAGCATCCTCACGATTACTCTTCACAGCGTAACGATTCAGCTCATTAACCCAGAATCCAGTCATGTTTCCCGACTTGAGGTGAAGGAGGGAAAAAAAAGTCCATGCATACGTTCACTCGGTGCTCCCGAGTGGAAGAACCTTTTGAACTCGCGTGCCCTCACGCGCGCGTGTCATACATATCAACATAGAGAGTATACGTGTGAACGTGTGTGTTATGTACCTCACGGCGTCTGCTGTGGTGCGCTCGCCTTCCTTTAAAAGGACTCCACTTAACCTTTCATTACTTCGTCTCGCATCGCGGGAACATATTATGCACACAGCTTGCGAACTTGTGTCGGTTTTATTTGCGCGGGCTGTTGCTTGGGCTTCGCATTACTTATGTGCGTGACGCAGTCGCGGGGAGAGTTTGCTTTGGATTTTTCGTACTGGGGGATTTTGATCTGACCTTTTGATTGAGCGATTCCTACTAGCTCAAAATTAAGACCTACAACGGGTGTAATGAATTTAGTGACTGCGCGATAATTTTCATTTTTTTTTTTTTTTTTTTTTTTTTACTAACAGCATATAATTCAAATAAAAAATCTTATTTCTTTAATAGTCGGAGCTCTTACATAATTTAGTGACAATAACTGAGTCATTATTTGCTTCTGTTAATCGAGGGTTACGGTCTTTGTATGCGCCTATGTGTTTGAACTTTACAAATAAAATAAATGTCTGGTATAGCCTGTTGTGATCATCGTCCAGTTCAGAAAGATATTTTATATGAATCACTTTCTTAATTATACGCTTACTCTATTTAAGCTTGTATCTTTCTGTCAGCTATAGACGTTACTCAAATAAAAACAAAAGCACCTACGTACGTACCCACCTAAGATATTTAATGGGTATTTTTTTGTTTTTGGAGACTAAAAAATGATACAAATAAAAAATTTGGAACACCTGTTTAATACTTTTTAAAAAACTGATTAATTTTGCGCAAAATTCCACGTCGTTTATGATATCGGTTATTATTATGAATTCGAGACCATCGTGTGTTCATCTCGTAAGACTTTGTAATTTTTTTCAAGTCTCTAACATTGAGATAATCAAGAATATTATTTGTTACTTCGAAAGGTAAGCTTTTAAAATTTGTAGTTTTCAAAATATCCTCAAAAACTTCGTTTAAACAATGCCTAGCCATACCCAATATATTACGCCTCTTAACAGCTAATTCAATGCGAAATTTTGCCATATAATCAAATATATCAAGATATCTTTCTTTTCTGATCAACTTCCAATGAATTGTGCAGGCGTCAAGATAACTTTTATCATCGAATAATTTTACGAGTAAATCAAATGGCATAGTGATAATGTCATACACAGAGCTACTGCTTATTTTCACTTCCTTCATTTCATGCAGCTTAAAGTTGTAAATGGAGAAAATACGTGGTATCATAATATCCGAGTGACTAGTTCTGCTCAATTGATCCAAGTGTGCTTGTGAATTCCTATTTTTCAGATAAATGTGATAAAAATAATTTATCAAAGACCCTATCATATGATGGTGTGTCGTAATTCTAAACCACTGATGAATCGTCGACTCGTTGACAATTGCGGTGTCTTTAGATTCCCAGAGTAAAAAAAACGCCTTCAATTCTTTTTTGTCATACGGTGTTGTATGTAAATGGGGCAGAAGGTATACAAAGTACCTGTGGATCAATAAAATTGTGCAGTTGATGCAAATTATTTTTACGGAGGATTTTAAAATTATCTTAATACATTAGCCAACCTATCAGTTCGAAAGCCAGCCTCGATAAGTAATTGAATGATTCCATACTTTTGGAGCACGAATGCTTTTCTTAGTATTCTGTCAATATTTTGAAAATTATTTATTCTTGGCACGGGACACATGTCGAGCAGATGAGCGACAAACATTTCTTGAAAGGAAGTATTGCCATCGAATAGATCAAGTACTTTATCTATGTAGTAAAAAATGCCTAAACCAAAAGTTTCATCGTTAACTGTTGGCTTTTCGACTTTGGTGACTTTCAGCAGCATGTAATTCAATAAGTTTATATTTTTTTGTTTCATAGCTATTAAAAATGGTGTTTCGTTGATAGAATTTTTAGCCCAAATGTCCGCTCCTGGAATAATGTGTTTGAGTTTCACTTTATAATTCACGATATGTCTAAATAAATTTTCATAGCTAACGTGAAAAAAATAATAACTTACAATATGAAAAATGTTTGTCAAGTAGATTGAAAAACTAGCAAGATCAAACTTACCAAATTTAATGAGCTGTCTGGTAATGCTGCTAATATTATTTGAAGATTCTTCTACTCTTAACGACAAATGTAGCGGTGTATCACCGAAAATATTTCTGGTGTTGACATTGGTGTTTTCCTGAAGAAGAGCAGTGACTGCTTTTTTGTTATTATGCCTAACAGCTCGATGCAAATCCAGATCACCGGAGTAATCATCACCACCATCGATGTCTTGTTCGCACAGAAACTTAAAGAGAAGGCAATCTTTGTGGGACTTGTGATGATTTTTCGAAATGACGTAGTACAGTAAAGCTTTCGGCGAAAATTTGTCGTGCACGTCTAGGTGAGCCGCGTGTTTAAGTACGTACTCGATGACGTAGTTTTCGTAGCGTGGTGTCGAACATTGGGTACACAATTTTAAAAGTTTTTTGTAAATATTGTTGCACTTTGCACTAAAATAAATGAAAGTTATACTTCTAGATTGCATGTTGATTGTACATACGTTAAAAGTTACAAAAAATATGAATATCTTACCCAGATGCTGCCAATTTCTCTACAAAATTAATTTGACGATTTCTGATAGCCATGTCAAGTGGCGTCTCATTTTCATCATTCATAATATTAGGATTTGCTCCGTACTCTAATAACAACTCTAAGATATTTTCAACGTTTTTTAGTACCACAATACCCAGAATCGTTTCTCCAAATAATAATTCAATGTTCGGGTCAGCGTGATTTTCCAGCAACAACTTCACTTCGTCGACCTTGAAATTTCAAACGTTTAAAATTTTTCCAAGCGTTTTACTCACAAAAATTATATACCCGCTCGTAATACACTGCTAAGTGCAATGCCGTCTCAAGATTATCATCTCGCGCATTGACATCTGCTCCATATTCTATTAACAATTGCATGATTCGAAGTCTATAAATGGATGATACATTACTCAAGGAAACGACAAAATGCAGAGGTGTTTGAAGTTTGCGATTCCTATCGTTGACACAATTTGAATTTCTATGGAACAGTTTGAAAGAAAAGAAAGGATTTATAAGAAAATCTATTTTTTCAGAAAAATAAAATTACCTTTGTAGCATATTTTGAACTTCCGCAACATTTTCGAGCCACATGGTATCGAAAATACTTTCTACGTTTTGACTTTCCATTATTATTTTCACTGTATTATGTTTCGCTATGTTGAATGACAAATTAAAATAAGTTTCTGAAAACTGTATGTTACCACAGGGAGCTGTTTCCTGACAAGAGCATTACTAATGAAACCAAAAATAGCCGTCGAGTATCGACACTTTTACTCACTGAACGAGGTGCTGAAGCGGTAGGCCTGACTGTTGTGCTGTTACTAAAACTAATTTGGGAGAGCGACTGTTGTATGCCAAGATAATCACTAAATGAGTGCGCGCAGTCACTTCCCACAATAGAAAATATACGTCTTTTTTTATTAAAAGTTTTGGAGTGGTCAAAGCTTATCAATACAAGTTATACATGTCTGAAATAAATTAATCCCAGCTAGATTCTTTTTTTGAAGAGTTGACTCGGCTGGAGGTCGAACCCTCGCCCCGCAATGGAGCAGCCGTAGGTTCCTTATGTTAGCTCCTAACCAACTGAGCCATGTCCACTCCTCACTGCGTGTTTATGTGTACCTCCGATTTCCCGGATAAACCGAGGGGCTACGCACTTTAAAGTCTTTTGAAGACTTCTGCGATCTTTAAAAGACTAAGAATGACTTATGAAGTCTTTTTTAATGACTTCAAGAGTGCGCAGCTCCTCGAGATAAACTATAATTATCCCGCCTGCGCAGTTGCTCACAAGCGTGGAACACATAACTAAATTGGTTTTAGGTGATCTCTATTGGCTAAGATCGCTTATCACCGCACTAATGAGTCTACTTTGCGATTAAGGAGGTTCGGTAGTGTTAGCGGGGGGAAATCTCAGAGAGGCAAGGGGAGGGAGAGCGTCTGGCAACGTTGTGAATTTTTTCGGCTGCTGGCACGTCGTCTACTGTTGTTGTCGTCTACTGCTGTTGTCGTCGTCTACTGATGACAGTGTACTTATTTCTTCGGTTGAATTTTTTATAATTAAATTTTCAATTACAAAAGGAGTTTTTACTATTCATTACATTTCAAAGCGCGCTCCAAAAGCAGCGTTGCCAAGTCGTCTGCTGCGAGCACATTTTTGCTGTTTTTTAATAGAAATTTGTGGTAGGGCTCTCTCAAACTTTGACAAACTATTATTTTGACAATATTCTTTCATTTAAAAAAAAAAAAAAGCAAGTTCATTTAGCCGTTTTTTTTTTATGTGAAATTTAAGTGATTTCTCCATAAGCCTACATGTTAAAATATTGTTTTTTCAGGTCAATATATCTTGAAAACGGTGTGGTTAAACCCTTCAAAAATTTAGCTGTAATTTGATACTATTATCCCAAACGACATATCGAAATTTCAAAAACTTTCATCATAAAAAATTATCACTACCGAACCTCCTTAAGTGATGCTACGAAAAAAATTTTCTTCGTACAGGAAACCCAAAATCTCGAAGTTTTACAATTTATTGACCGATAGTTAAATTTTAATCGATAATTGATTGTTTTTATCTGAACGGGAGTGACCTTTTTAATATTATTACCAATATCAGTTGCGGTAAAAGAACTAATTAACGGAACATGAAAATTTACACGCTATGCTAAAACTGAAAGCTATTAATAATTTATTTTCAAAAGTTTCAAAAGTAAATCGTGTCATTTGAGCCAAGTATTTCGAGCCACTTAAAATTACACAAAAATTGCTTTATGGTGAGAGTTCTATAATAGGGACATGAACTATGAAACACTGGGACAAGCCTTTTGGAGCGGTTTCGTAATACGGGTATATTAATTGTTTTTATTAGAAATATCTGTCTCTTTTGCATGAAAATAATACATAAAAATCAAAACAAGTTATTGAAATTGTATCAATTCAAGAAAAAGCAAAATCACTAGCATCAAAGCATGCCCGCTTTTTTAGACAATAAGAAAAAAAATGCCCAAAGTTGTTCCATTATTGGTATACTTGTACATTATTATTTCTAGAAGGAATCGCTCAATCTCGGATCAAACACATCTGGTACGCGTCTTCAATATGTACACACGTGTACAATATGTTGGCTTTCACAATGTACAACGTAAATATCCTCAGCCGCGCTTGAGATAACAACTCGTACACTTGGTTAGCGTGCAAATTTCGATCAACAGATAGGGAAGTGTTGAAGGTTAAAGAAATGCGTGTTGTGCTGCACGATGTGTGTGTAATCGTGTCAGACATTAGATCTCGGATGGGAAAGGTTTTGGTTTTGTTCCAGTAGACCTAGTTCGCGTGCCGAGCACCAGAGCGGAAAGAACATCGCGATAAGTATATATCGAGACTATAAAGTCGTGCACAAGAAACAGAACGCTGTGACTCATTATGGATCTGGATTGGCGTATTTTTTTTTTACTTATAAGCTTATTAGAACGCCTACTAGATCATTCAGTCTGGATGTTTTACGCTCACGGAGACTGCAAAACTCGGTTGTTATTCAAGTCACTCCGAGCAAGATCTAATTGTTGCGTACCACGTACTGCAAGATTTATTCCAAAGCAGGCGGTACTTACAATAAATGTTTCCCCAAAAACTCCCTCGATGTCTAATGCTAAAAATGAAAGTCACTCCCGCACGACACGCGTATACGCCAATATGCGATAAGACGTACACACAAGCGCATTAGTATATGTATAACGGAGTAAGCGAGCCTCCTTCATCCATGGTTGACCCGAGCTCGCAAAAAACAATCACAAAACGCCCGTAATTGGATGAGAGCCACTACTGCCCCAGTATAGACGAGTACACGTCTCGGGAGGCAGAAAGAGGATGGGAAAGAGGAAAAGGATCGTTTTGTCGCGGTTTAATTGTATACGTCTGGGAAGAGAAAAATGAAAAGAAAACAACGAGGAGCTTCTCCTTCCGATTATGCAAGCGCAGTTACAGAACAGGATCGAGGAGAGTGAGAGAGACTGAGCTCGATTGTGCGCGCACGGGCTCGGGTTTCCATCTTCGGGCTCTTTTTAATTGGCAAAGGCTCACAAATATTTATGGAAATATTAACCGTAAGCCCGAGGATGATGCGCACCGTTACCGCCAACCATATATACTTCGAGCCGTCTGTTTTTCTTCCTCTCTTCTTTCTCTTTTGCTTGCTTGTTCAATATTATACGAACTGTGTACCGAGTAACGCCAACCACCAACTGTGCGAGAAAACGATCTTTGACCATATGGTAGAAACTGAGATATTTTAATTAAAACACGATTTTATCAATAAATTAAAAAGCACGTGTTTTTTCATCATACGCATAGTTGATAATAGAGAGGGAGTTACGAAAATATTTGTTCACGACAGCATACATTTGTAACAATACTACACTGTGACCCTCGCATTTATAAATCATGGTTACGCAGATGTAAGAAATTATTTCTCACTTTTCAGATCATTAGTTGAAGCGCATTTTTATATGTTTTCCATCTAAATTTTTTAAAAAATTTTATGGTATCACTCCATGGTATTTTATTTATATCTGTACAATTTAGTAGAAACAGACGAGTGAAGTGAGCTGTCCACTGTGAGCGCGGAAATTTAAGTGACCTTAGCCTGATATCGATTTAAAATAAGGGTACACGGCATTATCAAAAGTCGTAGAAATATTGCCTCGAATCTAATTAAATAATGAATGTATGTTTAATTATTTCGTCGTAAGTTGAGTAAATACCGATTATCCGATTGATCAACAACTTGTATAAATGTTTGTGTATTGAAAAATCAATGATTATCGATTAAGTGATACAAAAATTGTTTTGACTTTATCATGGAGCCACGAGACTGCAGCTCGTCGGTTTACTATCGAGCCCCTAATATTGGGGCTTGTTCATTCTTTTCCAACCCAACATTCAAACTAAATCTGTACATCAAGATATAACGAAAATGCATAAAAAACACAATTATTTCAGTGGATAAGTATCATTTTACGAAGTGAAATTGGGCAATAATGATTTGAAATGATACTCTAAGATATTTTATTACAAATGCATTATAATAATTGAGTTCAAGATAGCGGATCCAATATGGCGAACCAAAATCTTATCAAATGCTCAAATCTAGATCAAAATCCCTACTCAAGGGTAATCGAGATCACTGATTAAGAATCTGGAATCATAATTTNAAAATAGATACGTTCGTTGGTTTACTTTATCAAGACAAAGTATGAAAAAAACTTCAGAAAATGCAAATTAGTATTAAGTAATAGCTACTAGCATGACACAAATAGTATACCTATTATCGACTTTATTGTAATATTATTATCTCATTCATACCATCTACGTAATAAATACGGTGGATTTAATATATATGTATACAATAGAAAAATATGCATTTTCTTAAGCTTTTCGTTAATGAATCGTACGAAAACTGAGGGAAGCTCACATTCAATTTTTCGTCCCATATTGAATATGTTAAGGTAAACAAATATCTCTATATTGAGAACTTTTTAGGCTACACTATTAAATATATTTACAGAAAGAAAATAATTTGTGCGTATACATTACACTATTATTTTTATTCATGTAATTATAACCCTAGATAATAATCACCTATACCGTACATTATTTTCAATTTTCAAGCACTGAATAAAATTGGTCTTGTATATATTGATAGTACATCGCATTGTCATATGGTATACCGATGTAAGCTCTCTAAACTTTAATAAGTGAAGAAGTCACTTATTTCCTAAGTCGATCAATTTTGCATAAAAAAAGATATATTAACTTAGAAATGTGAGAAAATACACTTATTTTTATGTTGATTTATTTTTTACTTATAACAATAAATGTAAAACATTAGCATCTCAATAAGTAAAATAGTCAGTTATTAAAAATAATAAAAATTTTACGAATTATTTGTGTGACTATAAGTTTCATCTAGCCACCACTGACAGATAGAAAAACTAGTTAAATTAAAAGCTTACAAAAACGGGATAATTTCGTCACTTGACCTTTTTCGGAATTTTTAAATGATTTCAGTAAATAACGCAAAAACAATGGAGCATCGG